GGGGGCAGGTAGCTCATCTGTATGCTTTAAATCTACTGTCATGCCTTTCAATTTCTTTTCTTAGACAAAGATACTTAGTTTTAATTCTTCAGGCCTATTTTAATTAGTCCTCTCCACACACACCTTCTTTGTGTCTTCTTCTGGTTTTGGCTTGAGATCAATTTATCCTCTCACATTGAAGTTCTATGTCATCGCCTTTCCTAAGGATTTATTATTGATTGGAGCTTATGAATTATGTTTGTAATATTCATCTTTCCACAGAACAGTTGGGAAAAACCTGGTATCAATTGCTATGCCTCAGTGACATCATGGCTATTGGATATTACTGTCTTAGTCAACATTATTTATGCTTATTTAATATTGAAATTGTGACATAGTTTTTCCTGACCAACTTTTCTATGACCTTTGAAAAAGCTCTTGCAGTACCATCACTCTTTACAGACAAACCCATTGCTTTTTCAAAACAGTGAACTTTGCATTTAGTTTCATGCTCCTCCATGGGACACACTATGGTCCTGATTTTCATTAACTTAGTTATTACCTGGTACAGAATTTATATTACACTCCTTTCAATGTTTCTGTCTTATTTTGTCCACTTCTTTCTGAATAAACCAACTAAACTTTAAAATACCTGTATTTTGAACCTCTATCTTTTTTGGGGTCTCTTTGTACCTTGTGAATTTATAGAAACTCTTGAAATTGTGCTAGTGTCAGACCCTTAATCTTCACCTTTTGGAAAAAAAAAAAGTCACATTACCACCATAATTCCATATTTGGCTTCAGCTCCTGTACTTCTCACTGCAGCACTTCCAGTGATACCAGAAAAATCTGAACTTCTGCTAAAGACTCAATATCTTTGCAAAAGATCCAGAATACATAGTACTGTCATTCCAAATTTCTGTAAAATTTTGTATTCAGTAGAAAATTCTGCAGATCCATCTAGGCTCTTAACTCTTTCACCCTTAAAGAAAGGGAATGTCTGCACAGTCGAAAAGACAGGCAGATTTCAGGTTGCTCTTCTCCTGTCTCCTTTGATTTTTACAAATGAAAAGCTAATACTGTTCTTCAAATAAAAAGAAGCCTGGATTGTTTCATATGCTACTATTTGCAAAGCCTGCCAAAGACAACACTCTCCACAAAGAACTACACATGCCCAGTCACTCTGGTTTGTATGCTGTCCAAGAAAAACAGAAACAGAATCATCTTTAAAAGACATTTTTAGAATACTATGCGTAAGCTAGGAGAGTAAGGAACTATGTAAGGATGGTAGAGCTGGGCCTATAATTGTGTACTGTTTATTCTGAAGCATACAGCAGTTTATAAACTTACCACATCCTTGGGTGGAGGCTCTACTTCCTTCTTTACTTTTTTACCCATTCTAAAAACAAAACAAAAAAACAAACAAAAATAAAAGCAGACGAACAAACAGCCTTCTGTGTTTTAGGAATCAGTTTAGCCATGATTTAGGAAAGTTTGTAAGACAGACTTTCTCATTCATTTGCCCCACCTCATCAGTTTGAAGATTTCTTCAACATAGTAACTTCTATGCAGAGAATTGTGCCTTATAAACAAAACAAGGCTTCTAACACTTGAATGCATTTGGTTAGTGCCCTGTAGTAATTCCTTGGCTAGTTCTCAAAGGGAAACCACACATCCACCCTTAGCCAGGACCATCCCGACAGCCTCCCTGTGGTATAAGATTATTTTCTAGTGCACGATGATCTGTAGCCTGGCTGGTTACAAAAGCGAAGGATATCGTTTGTTGTGTTCAAAAAAAAATTGGAGCTCTTCTTGAATCCTCTGAATTTTTTCAGGTATTGTTCCTCTACTGGCCTCTCAAATAAATCGTAACACAGCAGTAGTGAAACCCATTGATACACACATCCTAAAATTGGATCTGAAATTTAAAACTTCATAGGCAGGTCACTAATTATGAGAGGAAGACTCATACAATCAAAGATTCTTCAGCTCCCATCTGTTCTACCCTTGTGCATATATACATACACATATATGAATGAACACATACACACACAGAAGAATTCAGTGTTTCACAAAGTGCAGCTTTGGCTAGAGACAAATTAACTTATACAAGAGAAAGCATAAGGACAAATTACTAAGAATATAATCAACAAAAATGATGGACGTACTACCTTCTGACTTACGCTGTCACTGTAGAAGTAAGAATCACACACACATACAAGAATCAGATTTACAAGGACATTCAGGAAATCTGAGTTATTTAAATTGTGTTAAAACCTGGTATGGAGATGTAGGCACTTAAACATTCAGTTTAGTTAAACTAATTTCAGATATAAACTAAGCTAAAGTAATAAAAAGCAATTTTAATTCTGAATTAGTTTAATTACATTTAAACCAAACAATTTAAAAAGTTAATTCATGTAAAATTATTTATAACATTGTACAACAAATGTTCACAGATTCAAATAATTATACATATTACAAGACTGTGAATACCTAAAGCCTTTAACTGTAAATATTTTTTCACACAGTATAAATACATCTAACTTCTGAGAATATTTTCAAGAAACTTATACACTTTTCCGCATGTTCAGAAATACTTGATTCCTTGGTAATATTAAAAAAGAAGCATGATCTATAGCAAAAAGCACAGAGAACAGGACAATTACTTTACTGTGGATTGTGCCTCTCAATCTGTTTCTTTGCTGCAGTTACTACTCTGGATTTCAAGGCATTCTGCCACCAAATGTTGGTGTTAGCTTTGTTCCCATAAAGCTCTCTGCACTCAGCGGTCATTCTCTGACTTGAGGCAATGATGCACAGGGAATTCTTTGGATTACTGATAATTAAAAATGTGTCTTCTGCATTGAATTTTAATTATCGCAGACAATCAATGTGTTGTGTACAGGTATTGAAAGGCTACTCACCCATAAAAGAACTTCTTATTCAAATCCCTTTCTCTCCATGATAACTGCATGTTGTCTTTTTCTCAGTAGGTTTATACATATCTTTGATTCTCAGTTTACTATTTGTAGCAGGATTCAGATTTTTAAATGTGATTAAATGCTGGGTTTATGTTACCTGAAAAATTTCTTTTAAAAAACAAAACTCTATTCACTAGTAATTAAGTATAATTAATTAAATTAATTAATTAAACACATGGAGAAACTGGCTGCTCGTGGCTTGGACGGGTACACTCTTCACTGGGTAAAAATCCGGCTGGATGGCCGGGCCCAAAGAGTGGTGGTGAGTGGAGTTAAATCCAGTTGGTGGCCAGTCACAAGTGGTGTCCCCCAGGGGTCACTATTGGGGCCAGTTCTCTTTAGTATCTTTATCAACCACCTGGACAAGGGCATCAAGTGCACCCTCAGTAAGTTTGCAGACAACACAAAGCTGGGGAGGATGTTGATCTGCTGCAGGGTAGGAAGGCTCTG